ACTGGGGGGTTGGGGGTGGAAGGTGAATTCAAGTAGGAGCCAACAGTGAAATTCATCTTCCAGGGCTGTGGACAGGCCAGCTCAGGGGAGGGCTCACCTTTCAGCAGGGTGTCCCCTCAGAGACAGCTCTCAGAGGCTGGGCTGCAGCCCCACTCACCCGCCCACTCCAGAACCCCACAGGGACCCAAAGCACCTTGTTTATCGAGGCAGGTAACTAAATCGTTAGCAGTGCTGGTTCCAAGTGCTACCGTCACTCGCTCAGCACCCAGTGAGGCAGGGGCTGTTATCGTACCCATCTCAGAGCTAAGCAAGCTGAGGCCCAGCAAGGTTCAATCCCGTATGCACGTCACAGGGCCAGCAGGTGGCAGAGCTGAGTTCTGAAGTCAGACGGTCTGGCTCTGGAGTCTGAGCCACGCCATGTCTGACACTTGCCTCCGCCATCGCTGCCCCTCACCGCTCTCACCAAGGCACAAGGGAGTACTGGTGGTGCAGGAGGCCCAGCTCAGGAGCCCACAGCCAGGGCTGGACCATGTATAGGGCCTTGGCCTAACCTGGTAAGGAGGGGCCGGCCCCTGTTCTCCCTCCTGCCTGCGATCTGGTGAGGCTCAAAGAGATAAGGGTGGGTGAGGCTCACCAGTCCCAGCACTGAAGCCCCTTAAACAAGGGGTCTATCTCAGTGCTGTCCAACACAGCAGCCACAGCCCACGCGTGGCTATGGAGCATTTAAAACGTGGCTGGTTCCAACTGTAACGTGCTCTAGGTTCAAATTCACACTGGCTTTTGAAGATCTGGGACAAAAATAAGGGTGTGGAATATCTGATACTTTTAAATACTGTCCACATGCCGGAATGATAACAGGATATATGGGGTTTGTTAAGACACATTTTTTTAAAAATGGAGTCTTGCTCTGTTGCCCAGGCTGGCGTGCAGTGGTGCGATCTCAGGTCACTGCAACCCCCTCCTCCTGGGTCTAAGTGATTCTCTTGCCTCAGCCTCCCAAGTAGCTGGGACTACAGGCGCGCAACACCACACCCGGCTGATTTTTGTATTTTTGGTGGTGCGGGGGTTCACCATGTTGGCCAGGCTGGTCATGAACTCCAGGCCTCAGGTGATCCACTTGCCTCAGCCTCCCGAAGTGCTGAGATTACAGGCCTGAGCCACTATACCCGAACTGAAACATATTTTAAAAATCAACTTCACCCTTTCTTCGTTGTTTAAGGTGACTACTGGAAATAAGCCTAAGCCGGCACGTGGCTCACGTTTGTGCCCGAGTTGTGTAACCTGCAGATGCTGTCGCTCTGCTTTGACCTCAGGCACCCTGCAGGGTGTGGGAGACGCTTTTCCAAGGGCTGAACCCACCTGAACCTGCAGGACTCCCAGTGCATAGCCGCCATGTGCTGGGAAGTCTGCGCTCACAGGTAGGGATGGGAGGGGGAAGGCTGCCTCACGGCTCCATTTCCCAGGCAAGCAAACTGAGGCGCCCAGGTCACTCAACAGTAAGGGGCACAGTCAGGATTCAAACCACGGTCCATGTTCTATTCCACCCTTCCCAGACATTTTTAAAGCACTTCTCCTTAAAAAATAAAAGATGAGGATCCATGAGCCAGAAGTGGGCTGAAGGCAGGGTTAATTTAGCACACTCCCAGTGACTGGAAATAACACAGGTCAAGGGGATATTTTTCTGTGGCTCATTCATCCATCCATCCTTCCATCTACCATCCATCCATCCTTCCATCCACCATCCATCCAACCCTCCATCTCCCATCCATCCATCTACCATGCATCCATCCTTCCATCTGCCATCCATCCATCCTTCCATCTACCATCCATCCGTCCATCCACCTGCCCATCTACCTACCCATCTATTTACCCATCCTCCCTTCCTCTTCCTTCCTTCCTCCCTTCCATTCACCCATCTACCACCCAAGCATCTACTTGTCTGTTCATTTGTTCTTCCATTTATCCATCTATTCACTAATTCATCCATCCACATTCATTTACCCACCATCCATCCACCATTCAATCATCTATCCATCCATCCATTCATCTACCCTTCCTTCCATCTATCTATGCATCCAACCTACCCACTCACCCTTCCATCCATCCATCCATCCATACATACATTTATTCTTCTGTCCTTCCTTCCTTCTACCCATCCATTCATCCATTCACTCACCATCTACAATCCACCCAACTACCTACCCTTCCTCCCATCCATCCATACATTTACTCTTCCTTCCTTCCCTCCCTTCCTTCTTTCCTTCCTTCCTTCCATTCACCCATCCATCCACCCACACATCTACCTATCCATTCATCCATTCACTCATCTATCCATCCACATTCCTTCACACCATCTACCATCCATCCATTCATCCTTCCTTCCATCCTTCCATCCATCCTTCCTTCCATCCTTCCATCCATCCATCCTTCCTTCCTTCCATCCATTCATCCATCCATCCTTCCATCCATCCATCCTTCCTTCCATCCATTCATCCATCCTTCCATCCATCCATCCTTCCATCCATTCATCCATCCATCCATCCTTCCATCCATCCTTCCTTCCATCCTTCCATCCCCCTTCCATCCATCCATCCATCCATCCATTCATCCATCTATCCTTCCATCCATCCATCCTTCCATCCAACCATCCTTCCATCTATTTTCCACTCCTTCTTAGAGAGTGGGGGTTAAAAGTGTAGATTCCAGAGGAGGATTGTCTAAAGTTTGAATCCTCGCCCTACCACTGACCATCTGTGGACAGGAAACTGTCCATGTCTCAGTTTCCCCATCTAAAAGAAAGGGACGATATTAGGTAGCCTCAGTCTAGGATGTTCAGATTCTTACTTGCCTTTTACTTGCCATGGATTTTTGTAAAAGTCCCTTTGCCTACCAGTCTCAGTACCCTGTAAACTGGGAACAAAACTGCTCCCTCCTGGCAGTAAGTGGTCAGGAGCTCAGACTGCTCAGTGCAGTGGGTCAGCTTTCAGCATGGGCAGGGCAGGCTCCCTGGCTTGGCTTGGAGGGTGTGCAGGGTGGCTGTGTGTGGGTGACAGTATTCTTTACTGCCCCTCTTCCCTGCAGCTCAGTCTCGGCCAGGGTGTGCATGGGTGTGGCTCCGCTTCAAACCCCCCTGGGAGGAGACCAACCAGCTCCTTTGCTGCCACAAGATGAATTTTGTCTCACGAGCATCACGGGGCGACTCCCCTTATCCTGACAATGGCGGCCCAAGCCCACCAGCGCAACTCCTCCAAGGTCGCCCCCAGGTCCATCCTCCACCAAGCCTCTGTGTCCAGCACCTCCACCCTTCCCCCTGTGCCCCTCCCCCACCACGGGGGCGGGGCTGCTTCCTGCTGTCACCATCTCACATCACCTGTCCATCCCCTCCTGACTTCTGGGTCCTCCAGCACCTGCTCCGAGGTGCCCTGAGTCAAATCCTCTCCGTCCAAATGCCTGGGGCAGCTTCTATCTTGCCTGGCCCCTGACTGAGACGGTACAGAACAGACAGCTGTTCAACAGCTGGGACAATGCAGGACAGCCAGGAATGCTGGCGGCTGCTGGGACCCCCACCCCCCCCACGGAGCACCCAGGGAGGGCCTACCAGAGTACTGGGCAAGTGGCCCAGGGGCCCCCAGCGCAGCGCACCGCAGCACAGCTCGGCCCCGCCTGCTGGGAGCCTGGTCTCCACTCTGGTCCTCTGCCTGCCCCACTCAGCTGCCTGGCATGGGAGGCAGAGCTCTGCCCGCCACCCGGAGAGGCCCTGACACGTGTTAAAATAAATATTCTGCAAATATGATGTTCCATATGTATGACTTCGTGGGGTGATGATTCTTCCACTGATCGTTGTAAGTGACAGCTGCGCGGGCAGCGCTAGAAACACAGGCTCCAGTGGCCCTCGCCATGCCACGCAGCGGGGGTGGCGAGCGGGACGCCAGGGCTCGGAGCATCTGGCAACTCGGGGCTCCAGGAGCCCTCCTGCCTGTCAGGGCTGGGAGCGGGCACATTAGCGATTCCGAGGGATGGTGGGAGCAGGTGCTCCCAAGCAGCCTGTTTGTAATAATTACTTTTAGATTGTTTTAAAGTATGTGAGCTAGATCCTGGAGGGCTGGGAGAGAAGGAAGAGGGTGGAGGTTGCAGGCAGCCGGGCCAGCACAGGGCCAGCCTTGGACATATCCAGGGCAGGGCAGGGCAGTGATGGAGCACGTGGCTGACGGGTTCCCGTGGGGCTCTCATACTCACAGCAGGTTCAGCTGGGCTGGCTGTTAACTGACACCCTGTGGCCCCAGACCCTAGCAAGCTGCTTTCAGAGGCCTGGCCTCTCACCAGGAAACCCCCAGCCACCCAGGACCCCTGGGCCGAACAGGTGAAATGTTTTAAGCAGTGACCCTGCCATCACCAAGAACCTCAAGCCTCAACTTCTGAGTAAGCCTGCCTGGACGCTGGCACCGTAGGGGCGGAGGCTTTGTGCCGGGTTCCATCCCACTCAGTACGTCCTCCAGTGAACCAGCAAACACATTAAAGCCATTGTCACTGTTAGGAGGACAAGAGCCTTCTTTCTGGTTCCTTCAAGAGACCTCAGGACACTCTTCCTCTAACAGGAGCTCCAAGCAGCGTCCCGGAGTCTGGGCGGCGGGAATGGATGCAGGAGGCTCTGGCCTCACCGGTGGACACAGGTGGAGCTCAGGAGGGACTCCGGAGAGCAGACAGTGCCAGTCCCTCAGGTAGGGCACAGGTGCTGGGGCTGACATCCTGGCCAGGGCCTCAGGGGGGTCTCCCGGCAAGAAGTCCCAGGAGGCTGTGAGTCACAGCGGCCAGGTCCATGGAGAGAGCATTTTGGAAGAAGGGAGAGCAAGTGTGGTGTGGGAGAGTGGACAGAGGGACAGATGGACAGATGCGAGGACAGAAAGAGAGGGACACACTTGCTACGTGTGTTCAGTTGGCTTGGTGAAGACTCCCACTCCAGACGCCAGCCCCACCCCCACCCACTGCACCTTCTCCCACTCCAGATGCCAGCCCCACCCCCACGCACTGTGCCTTCCCTCTCTACAGCCCCTTAACTCCTCTCTCGCCGGGGGTCCCGGGCTGATGCACGTGGCTCTCCAGGGGCTTGGCAGCCCCCCACCTGTGCTGAGGCCTCTGGCTGCACTCTGGAACCGCCAGCTTTAAGCAAACCAAACCCTGCTACCCCAGACCAGCTGGTGGGGAACAGCAGGCAGGACTCTGGTGGGGGTGACTTTCGAACACTCCAGGGATCTCAGGTGCAGCAGAACGAGGCCACAGCAGCAGCTGGTGGAGCTCTGGGGCAGCAATGCGGGAGGCCACTGGACATCTCCAGCTGGAGCCTGACCCAGGGCCTGAACTTGCCACTCGGGGAGGACATCCACGCTGTCTGGGCGTCTGCCCCTCCCCTGCAGAGAAGGGTTCCCCTCACCATTCCCAGCACAAAAGGTGAGTAGAGAAGGCTACACCCCTCAGGGGAGGGGCGGACGACAAGGATCCTGATAGTGGGGAGCTGACTCTGCTCCACTTCAGTGTTTGCGAGGCAGTGCCTGAGACCAGCCATACCTGACGCCCCCTCGGACCAGGGCCTGGGAGCAGTGGTGTTTGCAGTTGCTATTTAAAAGCCGGCAAGTTCAACATTAGCTCTGGGGTTTATGCGATCTGTTCTCAAGCTAAAGCAGCCAGGCAGGTGAGCACGTGGGGGCACCCCGAGCATCAGGCCTGGTAATGAGCAGCCAGGCAGGTGAGCAAGTGGGGGCACCCCGAGCATCAGGCCTGGTAATGAGCAGCCGGGCAGGTGAGCACGTGGGGGCACCCCGAGCGTCAGGCCTGGTAATGAGCAGCCGGGCAGGTGAGCACGTGGGGGCACCCCGAGCATCAGGCCTGGTAATGAGCAGCCGGGCAGGTGAGCAAGTGGGGGCACCCCGAGCGTCAGGCCTGGTAATGAGCAGCCGGGCAGGTGAGGACGTGGGGGCACCCCGAGCGTCAGGCCTGGTAATGAGCAGCCGGGCAGGTGAGCACGTGGGGGCACCCCGAGCGTCAGGCCTGGTAACGAGCAGCCGGGCAGGTGAGCAAGTGGGGGCACCCTGAGCGTCAGGCCTGGTAATGAGCAGCCGGGCAGGTGAGCAAGTGGGGGCACCCCGAGCGTCAGGCCTGGTAATGAGCAGCCGGGCAGGTGAGCACGTGGGGGCACCCCGAGCGTCAGGCCTGGTAATGAGCAGCCGGGCAGGTGAGCACGTGGGGGCACCCCGAGCGTCAGGCCTGGTAATGAGCAGCCGGGCAGGTGAGCACGTGGGGGCACCCCGAGCGTCAGGCCTGGTAATGAGCAGCCGGGCAGGTGAGCAAGTGGGGGCACCCCGAGCGTCAGGCCTGGTTAATGAGCAGCCAGTGGGTTCAGTTGTCCTTCCTCCAATGCCTGCTTTCTGGAGTCCACTGAGTCCAAACCCCAGGCAGCAGCGCCGCCACCCGTCTCTCCTCTCAAGTCCCCAAGTGCCCTCTGGGCTCCGGGGCCTTTGCACCTGCAGGGCCTGTGCCTGGGACCCCTTTCCTGCCGCTCCTTCAGGCCAGAATGCCACTTCCTGCAGCCAGAAGTCCCCTCTCTCCGGCCCCTTCCTCTCCCCTACGGTTTTTCTTTCTTTTTTTTCCTTTTGGCCAGAACAGGGCCAGGCCCACAGCGACTGCTCCATGAACATGTGTGCAAGGGGACTCCAGCACGGTTCTCCCCCTCCTCCTCCTCCCTTCCCCGCTCAGCCCCACCCCTTCGCTGCCTCCTACGCTGGCCCCAGGCTTCGCCCATCCACCAGGCCTCCAGGGGAGGAACCGACATCCCTCATTTAGTGGCTCCACGGGGGTGCCCCCCCAGCTCCTTCCCGCAGAGGCTCTTACTGTCAGTCTTGCCGGGAGCCTCGCCTGTGCTGTGCGAGGAGGATTCTGACAGCCACCCCTAGCAGAACTCATCTTTTATTCATGCCGATAATGTCAACTGGATTGTGTCTGATGCAAAGTCACTTAACCCATTAGAAGAAGCTGCGGCTGTAGCTCTGCCAGGGATGGGGGATGAGGGGGCCGAGGTGGGGTGGGGGATGACCCGGGCGCACCCTGGGGGCGTGGGGATTTGATGATGGCCTGCCTGGGTCCAAGGCACGGCTGCCCCACGGTTGTTCCTGTACATGGGCCCTGGGGTGGGAGTCCTGCCCGCTGGTGAGGGAGGGGCCCTGGGGTGGGAGTCCTGCCCGCTGCTGAGGGAGGGGCCCTGGGGTGGGAGTCCTGCCTGCTGGGGAGCCTGCATGAGGGAGGGGCCCTGGACGTGCCTAGCACAGCATCCCGGAAAAACGATGATGGCCCCTACCTCAAGGGGGTGCTGTGGGGCTGAACGACATCCCTTCGAAAGCTCTCAGCAGGGGCCTGCCAGGAGATGCCGGCCCTGAAGCCTCTTTTAGCAAAAAGGCCTTAAAGTTGGGGACCCCAGAGAGGCCATTCCCCCTAAAAATACGAGCATGGAAACACAGCTACCCTTTCCCTATTTACCTCACCGGGGTCCTGTGGGAGGCCCTAACCCTCCACCCAGGGCGACAGGAAGCCACAGCCCTTGGAACAAATGGTGCCTGGAAGCACCCCTGATGCCCCCGGGTGGAAACTGTTAAACCATTCACAAGCGCGGCCTGCAAAGGAACAAGACCACAGCCCTGGAAACCCACCTTCTCCTCCCCACCTGGTTAGAAATTGATGAGCAGCTGTTTGTTGACTGAACAACTAATGAGGGAGCCGGGGCCACTGTCCGAGACCGGCTAGGGCTGTGCATCCTGGGGCCAAACCCTGCCCCTCTCTGTGCCTCAGCTTTTTCCTGCTTGAATGAGCCCTGCTGGCTGTGCTCTTCTGTGGGGTGCATCTCCGGGGGCTGAGTGTCCCCAGGGTGTGGGGAATTGGGGTGACCTGTGAAGAGCAGGACCCCTGAAGGATGCCCTAGGCTCCCATCCCCTGCAATCTGGGGCCAGGGCCCGACAGACCCTCCAGGAACCCCTGTCCTGGGCTCAGATTGATGGTGGGAGGCCTCGTCCAGGAGACAGCAGGGTGCCCCCCTGCACCCCCAACTGCCCTGCCCTGCCCTGCCGTTTCCGTTTCTCTCGGTTTAACACACACTTTCACAGCGCTCACTGTGTGCCGGGCGCTGCGCTCAACACCACACATAGCAATTTATTAATCCTCCCAACGCCCCCGGGTAATAACAGTACGTGCTGTCATGATTCCCATTTTACAGAGGGGGACGCTGAGTCCCAGAGCGTCACGTGGCACAGGCGGAGGCGGCACAGACTGCAGAGTGCCCCCTGCAGGACAGCGCGGCCCCACACCGCGGGCGCAGCCAATAGGGGCGCCCCCGTGTGGAGGCCCGTGGCACTGCAGCTCCAGGCTGCGACGGGCTCCCTGCAACCTCTCCGGGGGTTCTGAGGGAGGCCCTAATCCTCCATCTAGGGTAACAGGACGACCTACCCTTGGGTCCCCAAGGGAAGGCAGCTGCTAGCTGGCCACCCTGCAAGCGCTGACAGATCACACACACGCAGTCATGGTCATGCCCACTGAGCCGGGTGGGCTGGCTTCACCTGCTGCAGGCTCTCTAGCGTTGGGGGTCCTGTCACTGGAGGAGGTATGCTGGTGACACAAAGGAGGCACATGGGCCCAGAACGACCAGATAGCAATGCTGCCACCCTTGGCCCTGGAAGCCCCAGGGCCCTCCACAGCAGGGACTTCCTCTGAGGGGACACAGGGACAGGGAGGGGGGACAAGACAGAAGCAAACCCTGCCCGATCCTGTGTTAATTTTCCAGGGCTGCCATAGCAAGGGGCCACAAACTGTGCGGCTTAGATCACAGAAGCGCATCCTTCATGACCCTGGAGACCCCAAGTTCAAAATCAAGGCGACTGCAAGGCTACCCTCCCTCCAGAGGTACTAGAGTGAAAGCCTGGGTGACAGAACAAAACCCTGTCCCAGAAAACAGAGCACACAAAAAGAAATGGGGTCTCGATAAGTTGCCCAGGCTGGTCTTGAACTCCTGGCTTCAAGTAGTCTTCCTGCTTCAGCTTCCTGAAGCACCGGGATTATAGGCATGAGCCACCGCCCCATCTGGCCCAGGCACACCACTTAGTGTCTGCCAAGGCACCCGTCAGACCCCTCTAGACACCCCAAGGGGAGGTACTGCTCAGAATCCCTGGCCCCTGGTGTCAAGCTCAGCATTCACAGACCCGTGAAAACTGCCAGCTGGGCCTCAGAGGGGCCTTCCCAGCTCAGATTTTGTCCCTGCTGTCCCTCAGCTCTGTTCCACACCCCACCACTCTGGCCTTCCCAGAGCAGCGGTGGTGAGCCCTGGCTGCCCACCTGCCCACCTGCCCACCTGCGGAGTTCCTGGCTGGCTCTGCGGAAGTTACACTGGGACCATCTCCATCGGAGTCTCGGGGGCGGGGCCTGGCGTCAGAGGGGTTTTGAAAGATCCCCAGCTGATTTGAGCATGCACCACCGGGAAGCACTGCACCAGAGGCAAGAGAAAGGCTGGGCCGTTCTGGTGTAATATGTATTGACTTAGGAGACACTACAGCCTTGCCCTGCTCCCAGGCTGGAGCACGGTGACGCAATCTCTGCCCACTGCAGCCTTGACATCAGGACAAGTGATCCTCCCTCCTCAGCCTCCCGGGTAGCTAGGACCACAGATGTGCACCACCGCGCCTGGCTAATTTTAGTTGGCAGAGAGAGTCTCCCTATGTTGCCCAGGCTGCTCTCAAACTCCTGGGCTCAAGCAATCTTCCCGTCTCAGCCTCCCAAAGTGCTGGGATTATAGGCATGAGTCACCACGCCTGGCCATCTGGTATATTCTCAAACCCTGATCCCCACTCTAAACAGTGCCTCCTGAGATGGCCTCTGGCGCCTTCTACATGGTGAACCTTTCGTAAGGACAGGGCCCGGGCACCCTCACTGCTGTCCCTGCAGAGACCAAGGCAGGCTGTGACTGTCAGAATCCCCAGGCTTGGTGCCTGGGCTCCCACAACGTCACTCACTCCCAAGGTGTCTCCCCAGTCTCCCAGCTTTCCATGCCATCTGTGCGCAGAGGACGCCCACATTCATAGCTCCAGACTCAAATATCCAACTGCCAGTTGGATCTCCACAGTGTCTCACGGCAGCTCTCACATGGCCAGGATGGAGCTCCGGCGCCTCTCCCTCCCCCAACCTGCTCCTCCTGGCAACGCTAACCTTCCCGCCGCTCAAGTCAACAGACTTGGAGATGTTCTAAGGTTCTCCCCGTCTCCTGTCCCACCTCTGCTCCGCCAGCAAATCCCGACAGCTCTATGCTCAAAACACTTCCCAAATCCAATCCCTCCCTGCAAAGCTGCCACCCTGGCCCTGCCTGGACCCCTGTAGCAGTCTCCCCAGTGGCTTCCTACTTCGCGGCTGTCCGCCTTTTTCTGTTCCTCATACAGTGGCCGGGGGAGCCTCCACCAGTACCTTGGAAGGACTCTCTCCTTTTGGCACTAGACCCTGTCCTCTTGGGGGTGCTTGTCCCCAATGTCCCACAGACAGAAGTGGCTTCTCTAGGCTGAGATGCTGGCTCTGGCTCCTGGGAGAGGCAGGAAGGCTACCAGCCTGCGTGTGCCTGTTCATAAGCAGGCTGGGCTGGAGCAGTCAGGGAGGGCTTCCTGGAGGAGGTAGCACTTGTACTAAGGGCTGATCTAGATGGGCAGACAGGAGAAACATGGGAGATGGACAAAGAGCAGGAGACAAAATGGGCAGTGTGCCAGGAAAGGCAGTGAGTAGGCTGCATCGTCTTCTGCTTCTGAGGAAGCCATGCCTGGGGTTGCCCTGGGGTCCTGTACCTTGAAGGTTGGACCTTTTAGCCCCACCTCTGTGACCTTGCATGTTACTGGCTTCAAGGCAGCTAAAAAATCCTTTAAAGGCTCTAATCTTGGTGTAGGAAATGTTTTGAGACTGTTCTTGCAAACATCTTTGCAGCTCTGTCTCTGTTATAATTAGATGGGCCTTACTTTGAGCACAGCTCAAATGCAACTGTAGGCCTTTAGAGTCTCTTTTAGCATTGCCACAGCTGCCTTCTGGCATGCACGGTGTGCTGTGATGTGAGTTGGCACTTGGCTCCCATTTTCATTTTAGCATGGCATTAATGGAGATCAGTGCATTTCAAAATCACTATCATTATTTATTATCAGTATTAGTATTATTGAGACAAAGTCTTGCTCTGTTGCCCAGTTAGAGTGCAGTGGCACAATTGTGGCTTACTGCAGCCTCCACATCCCAGTTTCAAGAGATGCTCTTGCCTCAGCCTCCTGGGCCTGGTTATTTTTTAGCAAAGATGGGGTCTAACAATGTTGCCCAGGTTGGTCTAGAACTCCTGGCCTCCAGTGATCCACCAACCTTGACCTCCCAAAAAACCATTGTTATTATTGACCCATACCATTTTGATCTTTATTACCACCCATGATCATAGATGCACCAGTTAGCCATTGGTATAAGTCTTAGTGATTACAACATGATTACAGTTATGACCACCCTACTTAACACAGGCAACAATATCCCTATTGCCATTGTATAAGTGTATTATCTTGTGACAATATCCTGTATTGAGGACATTTAGGGAACACATGCTATGTCTAAATTTTTCAGAAGGCTGAGAAAAAGTAAGTCTGGACAGGAAAGGATGCCAAGTTAATGGTGTGCTACTTAACAAGTCTCTGTTTGGTATCAAGAAAGATGGATTGCTTAATATTACCAGACCATCAATTACTTCTAAGGATAGTTTTTCTAGAAAAGGATGGAATACAAATGGAATTTCCCTGTGTTTCCTAGTTGTGTACGCAGACAAATCTTGCTATGCCTTAAAAACTCAGCGACAGGGCTAAAAAGCAAGCATTGTTAGGCTCTGAGTGCAAGTAATTAGCTGGTGTCTATGCAGTGTTAGTAATGACAGAAGCTTCTGTGTCAAGGACAAACAGTCAATATCCCTAGAAACAGACTACTCTGATGATGTTAATTGCTGCATACTAAATCAAATACTTTATCTCATTTGAAACTATCCTAACCACACTTTGTAAAAAAAAAAAAAAAAAAAGACAGGTTAAAAGAGTTTCCCAAGTACAGCTAGGAAGTAATACAGCTGTACTTTATATCCAGGTCTGTCTGGTTCTACTGTGTGTGCTAGCCCTTCACCCTTTATAGAAAATATATTCTGATGAAAGCCTAATATGTGTTATCTATTGCTGATTTCTCCTAAGTTATAAACTCATATATCCATCAGACTGGTTGACATTTCTACTGAATGTGTCTGATATCTCAAAGTTCACATGTTCAGACTGCCATGGTTAGCATTTCTACAAAAGTTTCTCTTCACTAGTACCTTCCACCCAGTACCCGTTTAGGAAACCTAAGCCCGATATATAACTCCTCACACCTCCCAAATTCTATCTATGATGAATAGATAAATCTAATATTTAAATGTGCATACTTCTTGTCTGGGACTGCTGTAAATTCTTCATATCTGTCAACTTTAATGTTTATAGCAATAAAATAGGCACTATTGATATTCCCATTATTCTGATAAGGAAACAACACAACTTTATTTGTCTGTTTTCATGTTGCAAATAAAGACATACCCAGGACTGGGTAATTCATAAAGGAAAAATATTTAATTGACCCACAGTTCCACATGGCTGGGGAGGCTTCACAATCATGGTGAAAGGTGAATGAGAAGTAAAGTCATATGTTACATGGCAGCAGGCAAGGGAGCTTGTGTAGGGGAACTCTCACTTATAAACTCATTAGTCCTTGTGAGACTTATTCACTACCACAAGTACAGTATGGGCAAAACCATCTGCATGGTTCAATTTTCTCCACCTGGCCCTGCCCTTTGCATGTGAGGATTATTACAGTTCAAGTTGAGATTTGGGTAGGGACACAGCCAAATAATATCATTCCAACCCTGGCCCCTCCCAAGTCTTACATGCTCATATTTCAAAACCAAAAATGCTTTCCAAGTAGTCCCCCAAAGTCTTACTTCCTTTCAGCTTTAACACAAAAGTCCCAGTCCAAAGTCTCATATTAGACAAGGCAAATCCCTTCCACCTATGAGTCTGTAAAGCCAAAAGCAAGTTAGTTACTTGCTAGATGCAAGGGGGTACAAGCATTGAGTAAATATACCCATGTCAAATGGGAGCAATTGGACAGAACAAAGGGAATACAGGCCCCATGCAAGTCCGAATTCCGTGGGGCAGCCATTAAAACTTAAAGTTTCAAAATTATCTCTTTTGATTCCATGTCTCACATCCAGATCACATTGATGAAAGAGGTGGGCTCCTACAGCTTTACGCAACTCGGCCCCTGTGACTTTGCAAGGTACAACCCCTTCTCAGTTGCTTTCATGGGCTGGCATGAAGTGTCTATGGCTTTTCCAGATGCACAGGGTAAGCTGTCATGGATCCACCATTCTGGGGTCTGGAGGAGGGTGGTTTTCTGCTCATAGTTCCCCTAGGCAGTGCCCCAGTGGGGACTCTGTGTGGGGGCTCCAACCTCATATATCCCTTCTGCACTACCCTAGCAGAGGTTATCCACCAGGGGCCTGCTCTTGCAGCAAACTTCTACCTGGACATCCAGGCATATCCATACGTCATTTGAAATCAAGGTGGAGGTTTCCAAACCTCAATTCTTGTCTTCTGTGCACTTGCAGATTCAACACCACGTGGAAGCTGCCAAGGCTTGGGCCTTGTACTCTAAAGCCACTGCCCAAGCTGTATATTTGCCCCTTTTAGCCATGACTGGAACAGCTGGAATGCAGGGCACCAAATCCTGAGGCTGTGCACAGCAGTGGGCCCTGAACAAAGCCCAGGAAACCCTTTTATCCTTCTAGACTTCTGGGCCTGTGAGCAGAGGGGTTGCCTTGAAAGTCTTTGACATGCCCTGGAGACATATTCCCCATTGTCTTGGTGATCAGCATTTGGCTCTTCATCATTTATACAAATCAGTGCAGCCAGCTTGAATTTATCCCCAGAAAATGGGTTTTTCTTTTCATCGGGCTGCAAACTGTTCAAACTTCTATGCTCTGCTTCCTCTGGAACACTTTACCATTTAGAAATTTCTTCCTCCAGATACTGTAAATAATCTCTCTCGGGTTCAAAGTTCCACAGATCTCTGGAGCAGGAGCAAAATGCCACCAGTTTATTTGCATAACAAGAATGACCTTTACTCCAGTTCCTAACTAGTTCCTGATATCCATCTGAGACAACCTCAGCCTGGACATCAAGATGAGATTTGGGTGGGGACACAGTCAAACTGTAACAGCAACTTATCATTTTCTAGCTATGAACGAATAGGTAAGACCCAGATTCTAACACCAAGGGCACTAGGATTCTACTTCTTAGAGGCTAGTCACTGTTACTGAAAAAATCCTTTGACTCTTAAATACATCCTGACTCCATCTTCTTTAATCCATGACCACCGTTAACAAGTTAGTCCAAGTCACTATCTATCTGAACTTTCTCAGCAACTCCTAACTAATGCCCCATTTATATATATGGTAAGTTTATTAAGTATTAACTTACATGATCACAAGGTCCCACAATAGGCTGTCTGCAAGCTGAGGAGCAAGGAGAGCCAGTCCAAGTCCCAAAACTAAAGAACTTGAAGTCTGATGTTCAAGGGCAGGAAGCATCCAGCAGAGGAGGAAAATGTGGGATAGATGGCTAGGCCAGTCTCTCTTTTTCATGTTTTTTTTTTTGCCTGCTTTATATCCACTGGAAGCTGATTAGATTGTGCCCACCAGATTAATGGTGGATCTGCTCTCTCCAGCCCACTGACTCAAATGTTAATCTCTTTTGGCATCAACCTCACAGACACACCCATGATCAATACTTTGTATCTTTCAATCCAATTAAGTTGACATTCAGTATTAATCATCACATCCCCAATCCTAACCTCAACACTTTCGTGCACATTTTGTTTTTCAGGTTTTTCCAATACTTAATTTTCTGGCTTAATCTTTATCAGGAAACACTTTCCAGATCCCAAAATATGTATTCTCCTGCTTTATAAGATGCAGAAACTCCACAAATTCCCATTACATCATTAGTGACTTTACATTCTTTGTTAGATGCCAAGCACCCTGAGGACAGCAACCATGTAATACCTTGCTCATTACTTTTTTACAGTGCTAGCACTGAACAGGACACAGAAAAGTCTCTCTCTCACTCTCTCTCTCACACACACAGATGCACAAATACATGTGCATATACACAAATACATGCACAAGTATGCATAAGTATTGACACAGGGGTGCTGGCACCATCAATAAATTTATGCAGTTCTTCCAGAGTATGGTTATTACTTAGATCAAATATTCAACTAGTAGACAAATGGGTACAAATCCTATTTGGCTATCACCAATAAATGAAACATTTTCTTACACTGACATGAGAAAGTCAGCTTAATTAAGATTGCTTCTAATTTGTCAAAAGCTGTTCAACATCTTGTTGCCTGAAGGTTGTTTCTCTATCTTTATTCAGGATCCTTCTAATTTCCTAAAATAAATATGTTATACTAAATTTCTGGTGCTGTATTTTAGATAATATAAAGCAGCTTCTCTTAAATTAGCTGCCTTTCATTAATTTTAAACATTAATAACAAAGAAAATTTCTGCTGGATTAGGCAGGCATGTAAGATAGTTCTTATCTTTTCATTTAACATTAAAAGTATTATTTTACTCTCATAGCATCTAAGTGGAACTGTTTATTGCATGCTAAAATATAAAAAAGTATTAAAAAGTTTAATGTTCACATCAAAATGAGAACATTTTGACATAGACATAATTATCTCAGTTTTGTTGCTACATATTTTAAGGGGATTCCATTGGCATATTCTAAATATTACAATCAGAGTAATAACCCAGATACTTTATCTGATTGAAAGTCAATATTTCAAAATCCTATTCCAATGCAGATGATATCAAGAGTGTAACTTTCCCTTCATTCTACAAAAAATAACAAAATGACAAATTCACCCTACCAGATTTTGATTTTATCTATCTCTCTGTGCATTCAATATAGCATGCTGTGATTTCTGAATAGCAATACATTTCTAAACAGTGATTTTTATATTTTGGCAAAATTTATAGTGTGTTTTATATATATCAAAGGTTAAAATTAGTCACAATTTGGTTGTTAGTAAATAATCTTTCTCAGAACTTCTTGAAAAATAAATCCAAGTATTGAAATATTCATGGAAAAGTGTTATTCTTAACTCTGAAAAAGTCTCCATTTGTAATGGAGAAATGCAGTTTTTGAATGCAAAGATTAAACAATTCAGGGAAATTTCTTTTCCCTTTTCTATTCCATCTCTCATCATGTCTTGATGACCTGACAATTACTTTTTTGTTGTCCCTGCCACTAATCTTGTGTCTTCATTGATTTGTGTTGGTGTAAAGTAATACTTGAGGCTGGTATATGTATAAAGAAAAAAGGGTTTTTCTGGCTCACTGTTCTGCAGGCTGTATGAGAAGAATGGTGCCAGCATCTGCTTCTGGTGAGACCTCATGGCAGGAGGAGAAGGGGCACCGAGATCACATGGTGAGAGAAAGCAAGAGAGTGGGAAAAGATACTAGGTCTTTTTTAATAACCAGCTCCTGGGGGACCAATCACAGGAACTAAGAGAGAACTTACTCATTACCAGGAGGACAGAACCAAGCCATTCATGAGAGATCTACCCCCATGACTCAAACATCTCCCATTAGGCTCCACCTCCAACATTGAGGATTAAATTTCAACATGAGGTTCAGAGAGTCAGATAACCATCTATGGCATCTTATTTCTTCCAGATCCCTCTAGACTCTATTTGTCTTGTCTCCCGATCATATCACTTTGTATATTTCAATTCGTGGGGTTTCTATTTGGCTACAATAGGAAGTTCAGACTTTTTAATATGGCATAAAAAGTCCTTCATCAATTGTTTCTCACTAAATTTTCATGAAGATTTCTGGGAACTTTACGCAACTTTGAAAGTGGAATAGCCCAGCATTGGTGAATTCTGAAGCTCCATTTTAACCAGACACATGGATATATTTCTGTGTGTTTTTAGCTTTTGGTCACTCTAGGGCAGCAGAGTTTCTATGCATTGTGTCCTTTCATAACATCATCCAAAGAAAGAAGATATAGTTTTTCTTTGCATTTCTCTTCTTAATAGAAGAAGCCTTTTCATAGAAATC